AAAGCCCCATCTTGGTTGTAGTCTTAGGCCCTATAATAAGCTAACGGTTTAATGATATTACTGGGGCTTCCACCCGGGTCATTCTCATCCGAATAGCGTATATTAGTTAAGTAACAGAAAATGTATTGATGGGCACTCATAGAAAGAAGTAGAAAGATAGAAGAACACTCTAGGGAATCGAACCTGTCACCTCCAGACGGCGTGTGCGTCTCGCTATGGAAACAAGTGCTCTAAGAATATAGTTGACTAGGCTACCCCCCCCCCCCCCAACCACCCAAAAAAAGTGTCTTATTGGCCATGTCTATCGTACAGCTTGATATCCACAACTATGGAATACGGAGAGAATCAATTTCAACCATTGAAATGGCACCATAGGTTACAGAAATTTATATTAACGAAGCAAATGTCGAATGAAAAGCACAGCAACAATTTACGAATATAGTAGACCTTAATGCTTTGTCTAGAATACACAGACATATACGAATAGTGGCACTTTGTATCACCGGGTTTTATCGCTCGTTGTACGATCCTGGTGTGGTTGAACTTCACTCATTCAGTTTGCTGAAATCGGGTGTGTTGTGTAGAAATGCTTAGACATTGCAGCCTGGCTGTGAACCACAAGACAATGTACCAACCGCACTTTTCGACTGTCAGTTGCTGAAGATAAGAAGAGAACAGAACAGATCCTGATAAAATGCAGGAAACTACATCTAATTCCTCTCTTCGACGCCTTTCGACAAGAGCAGTAGGACAAAAGACAGAAAACTACATCTTACTACTCTCTTCGACGCGCTATGACAATAGCAATAGGACAAAAGACAGGAAACTACATCTAATTCCTCTCTTCGACGCCTTATGACAATAGCAATAGGAAAAAAGACAGGAAACTACATCTAACTCCTCTCTTCGACGCGCTATGACAATAGCAATAGGACAAAAGACTGGAAATTACATCTAACTCCTCTCTTCGACGCCTTATGACAATAGCAATAGGAAAAAAGAAGGAAACTACATTTAACTCCTCTTTTCGAGGCCTTATGACAATAGCAGTAGTACATCAAGAAGGTTATGTGAGCTAAATAATTATTGTAACCACGGTCTATTATTTACTTAGACTCTCTATAAGCTGCATGAAAAGCAATGACTATTCGTAAAATATTTATTATATGTTTGATGTACACTGGAAAATTAATAAGCAAACCAAATAATATTATGAAGTCTAGAGAGATGTTATTTTACAGAAGAATCCTTGGAATTCTTTGGTTAACCAAAATGTGCGCAACTAGGATGTGATTTTACATGAGAACCCTTAGAATTCTTTGGACTACCAAAAAAAGAGCAACCTCGATGTTTTTGAAAGATGCGAAGGCTCACAAACATTCAAGAAAAAGACAGTCATCATTATTTGGCCGTGTTGTGTGTGTGTGGAAAAGGGGGGGGGGGAGGGGGGAGACTCCAATATGTGACTACCCGAAGGATCTGTGGAAACAAGAGACTGAGGAAGACAACACGAGATGATTCTTGATAGCCTTTTGTCTCACATAACGGTGTGTCAGTACAAGAACTGATACATCCTGCTGAAAATTATGGTAGGCGTGATCGCTCTCGCCAGTCGGCAAGGCACTTGATGATGACGGTGATGATCAGTGGGTGAGCAAAGACAGTTTGTGTTCGTTTTCCTTCTATGGACTGCTACTTAACAGTTTGATCACCCCTGTGACTTTAAGTGTCGCATTCTTCAAGACTGCAGAATAAAATATTGATACTCCGTGACTCAAAGGCTCACTTTGTAAATGCGAATCCAGCAGAAGTCAATACCAGTATTAACATATTGAGAGTTGGAAAAAGAATTCTTGCTTGCTACATACATCCAGTTTTAATATAAGGCGGTGAAACCTGGACAATCGGTAGGCAGGCGAAACAATTTCTTGAGGCCTCAGAGATGTGGTTTTACAGAAGAATGCTTAGAATACCTTGGACAGCCAAAAAGAGCAGCCAAGAGGTTTTGAAACAGGTTGGAGCCAGAAGACAACTTATCACAGACATCAGAAAGAGACAGTCATCATTTTTTGGCCATGTTATAAGAAAAGGGAAAATAGAACATGTTGTGACCACTGGAAAGATCTGTGGAAGGAGGGATAGAGGAAGACAACGAGAGAAGATTCTTGACAGTCTTGTTGCATGGCATGGAGGTGTGTCGGTACACGAACTGATACATGCTGCAGGAGATCATGGATTATGTAGAGGCATGATCACCCACGCCAGTCGGCAAGGCACCTGATGATGAGTTGTCCCCATGTGGGATGCAATTTTTCGTTATTTGAAGCCCCACCCTGGCTTTTGTCCAGAGGCCCTAAATATAGCCTGGCCATGAATGTGGCCTAACGGCTGAACGGGGTTTCTGGGACCTCTTCACGGGTGATCCTCATCCGCATGACGGCACTTTGTGTTACCTGGTTTTTATCGCTTTTTGTGATCTGGTAATCTGGTAATCTGGTAATCCTAGTTTCAGCTTCATAGAAAACGGGTCACTCCATAGTTGCTCCTGCTCCTGTGCCGACGAAAAACACACGTAGCTCACAGTGTCACGCCATGCACTCAACTCAGAAGCTGGGCGATGAAACTATATCCTTCCAGTCTACAAATGTGATGTCCTGGTGGGGTAGAACTGACATACATACATGCATACAATCCTAGTATATTAGTTCAAATTTATCGGAAAGTAATGTTGGGCACGTTATGTTTTCCACAGTAACCAGCTCTCCTACGGGTTGAGTTGATCGTAATTGTGTAAATAATTATATTCTTTTCTCAAATTGTTAATCTTCGGGATTGCAGTATAAAAGACTGGATCGTACCTTCTCCCCGAGTGGGTTCCGGTACCCCTTTTTTGGGTTTTTTTTTTTGGGGGGGGGGGGGGGGGGGGCGCAGGGAGGGGAATATAACCACTGCCCCCTTTCCTCAACAATGCGACTAATACGTTTTTGCCTTCAAAGTCAGAGCTCATCCACCTGAGAGGCATGAAACTAACAGTCTGCATACAAATAAGGCTGAGGTGTAGACCGGATGTGCACGCAAAAAAAAAGTTATGGGAAAAGACCAGAGTCCAGAAGTGGACGTCCCACCAGAACTTTCCGCCGCTGTTAACAGCCGGTGAACGCGGTTTGAGGTTTTAAGGTTTTGAACAACGGATCAACATCATGGAACACTGGTGTAACCCATAAGTGCTCCGTCTTTATTCTAACTCAAGTCTGCGTCCGAAGAAGCTCAGCATATTTCACAGGCTCTGTAGCTCCGGCGATTATCCTGAAATACTTTGGGTTGATTTGTAACCCTAAATTTTGCACGGGCAGCGCCGTTAGGTTACTCTTTTCTATTTCAAACTGCCAAAGGATTTGTTTACGTTTGCGACAATGCACACGGGCATCCGATCTCACTACCCAGAGACCAGGGGGAATTACTAGAAGTCCAAGTCCACGTGAAAAAATCCCAGCCCTTACCGGGGAATGAACCCCAAACCTCCAGCACTCAAGGCAGACGCCATGCTTGAGACTACGTTGCCCCCTAAAACGCAAAGAAGAAAAAAGAGGAGAATCTTGCCTTCAAAAGAATTGTTTTCCGCTATAGAAAATGTTTGTTACTGTACGCCTTCTGTTTGGAGATGAGAATGGTGATCACACGCGCAGACACGCATAGTCATTGCTGTTACATGTAAATACATCGTTAGTCTGCTTGTTGTGTGTGCCTTTGAGTAAATATAAACATTACATATCCTGAGCTGCAGGTAGCCAGATGATGGTTGGGTGGATGGATTGTTGGACTGATGGATAAAGGAAGGATGGATGGAATAATGGGTGCACTTTTGAAGTGGATTGATGGATAGGTGTGTGGGTGGGTGGGCGGGGGGATGTATGAGTTGATGGCTGAATGGGTTGATAGACAGGTTGGTGATTGTATGGTTTTTGGATTGATGGATTTTCAATGGATGGTTGGGTGAATGACAGTTTGGATGCATGGATGAATGAGCGAGTTCTTGGAATAATGGATGGATGTATAACTATACAGATGAGTCTTTTATGATGCTGGAGAAAATATGACTGCGATGCATAATCGCCGTTAGTGCACTTAGGACAAATCCTATAGCATTTAGTCTCTCTTAGCTGTTGTTTAGCAGTGAAAGAGCCGAGTCTAAAGTAATGTGCAATGCCATGGCGAAATGTCACGCAGGATGGCAAATCCCATAGCTATACCTTGTTGTTTATCCATCGCAAGTGATGAGGACCACTCTTTCTTTTATTCGTCACGAAAACTATAGTTGACTTCTGTGACTCCGAATGTGACTTCTAAGCTTAATACGACCCCAGAAAGATCTAGGACACTGAGAACAGGGAACAGTGTCTATAGGTAAGGGGCATAATATACGGGTCATTCTAGCCTGCCCGCTGAGGTCCTATTGAGACTTTTTATGACTATTGAGTAGCTAATGTGACCTTTTTTTTCAATGCTGTGATCTAGAATCTTTACCCAAATGAAGCATTGCCAAAAGTATGTTGATATGTTTCGAGTATTAACAATTTTTATTGTCAGTTGGCACACTATGTACCAGTATTTCCTCTGACTGGATGGTACTTTAACAACAGACTAGATCGTTTAAACAATGTAAGCATTATTTCCATCCGTTTGTAGGATGCAAATTTTTTGTTTAAAGCCCCACCCTGGCTTCTCCCGGGTGCCCTGAATATAGGCAGGGCATAGATTTGGCCTAGTTATAGATATTTATGGCCTAGTCATAGATATGGCCTAGTCATAGATATTTATGGCCTAGTCATAGATATGGCCTAACCGCTGAAAGGGGTTTCTTGACCTCTACACGAGTGATCCTCATCGGCATGGTGGCACTTGATGTCACCGGGTGTTTATCGCTTGTGTGATGTCCTGGTGGGGTACAACTACCTACCTTAAACAATGTGAACTAAACTGATTGATTCTAATATCCACAGTGCGGATGGCAAGTTTGAGGTGTCCTACAATCCGAATTGTGTTGTCAGATTTAATGGAGATGTGAACTTTATCCCTCCAGCAATCTATACCAGCTCCTGTACAATCGATGTGAGATACTTCCCCTTCGACCAGCAGGTATAAATGGGCAAGAATGTTGTTGTTTGTGTGGTTACATAGACCCTCATTCCTTGATCTGTCTATGGGCGGCTGGAAGGTTGTTATTTGTGTGGTTACATAGACCCTCATTCCTTGATCTGTCTATGGGCAAGAATGTTGTTGTTTGTGTGGTTACATAGACCCTCCTTCCTTAATCTGTCTATAAGCAAGAATGTTGTTGTTTGTGTGGTTACATAGACCCTCATTCCTTGATCTGTCTATAGGCAAGAATGTTGTTATTTGTGTGGTTACATAGACCCTCCTTCCTTGATCTGTCTATGGACAGGAAGGTTGTTATTTGTGTGGCTACATAGACCTTCCTTCCTTGATCTGTCTATAGGCAAGAATGTTGTTGTTTGTGTGGTTACATAAACCTTCCTTCCTTGATCTGTCTATGGGCAGGAAGGTTGTTATTTGTGTGGTTACATAGACCCTCCATCCTTGATCTGTCTATGGGCAGGAAGGTTGTTATTTGTGTGGTTACATAGACCTTCCTTCCTTGATCTGTCAATGGGCAGGAATGTTGTTGTTTGTGTGGTTACAGAGACCCTCATTCCTTGATCTGTCTATAGGCAAGAATGTTGTTGTTTGTGTGGTTACATAGACCCTCATTCCTTGATCTGTCTATAGGCAAGAATGTTGTTTGTGTGGTTAAATAGACCCTCATTCCTTGATCTGCCTATAAGTGAGAATGTTGTTGTTTGTGTGGTTACATAGACCCTCATTCCTTGATCTGTCTATGGGCAAGAATGTTGTTGTTTGTGTGGTTACATAGACCCTCATTCCTTGATCTGTCTATGGGCAAGAATGTTGTTGTTTGTGTGGTTACATAGACCCTCCTTCCTTGATCTGTCTATGGGCAGGAAGGTTGTTATTTGTGTGGTTACATAGACCCTCCTTCCTTGATCTGTCTATGGGTAGGAAGGTTGTTATTTGTGTGGTTACATAGACCCTCATTCATTGATCTGTCTATGGGCAGGAATGTTGTTATTTGTGTGGTTACATAGACCCTCATTCCTTGATCTGTCTAAACACTTCCTTATCTGTGTGTAAGAGGAACTGAAAATCGTTTCCATGGTTTAGGGATTGAGATGACTGCCTCATAATCTGAAGATCATGTGTTTGATTCATGGACTTTATTGTAGAGAGACATGAAATGAAATAGGACAAACAATCAGAGACAGAGTTTGCAATAAGTAACTAAGAACAATGGCAGGCACAGTACCTGTGAATGATTTCAAGGATAATCAAAAAGTAATCAAATTGTTTGGTGTGTCAGAACAGAACAAAATCGTCCAGGAGCTAAAGCATACTATATAAGAACAGGAAGCTACAAGGCAAGACGCCAGCCAAGACAAAGATGGGCAGAGGAAATAAAGGAGACACTACAGAAACATAATATGAAACAAACAGGAGCTACACAACTAGCACAAGTCAAGGAAACTACATCTAACTCTTCTTTGTGGCACCTTACAACATAAGCAATCAGACAAAAGAAGAAAGAAGATTATTCAGATTTTTAAATGGAAATCCTAAGGATCATCATGATGTGGGCTACAGAGCTGATTCTTTGTGTTATGCTTCTGGCAGATGGCATTAGCAGTGTTAGTGGAGAGAGATCAAGCCAGATGTGATCAAACATGCTTCAGTGTTAGTGGAGAGAGAGATCAAGACAGATGTGATCAAACATGCTGCAGTGTTAATGGAGAGAGAGATCAAGCCAGATTTGATCAAACATGCTTCAGTGTTAGTGGAGAGAGAGATCAAGACAGATGTGATCAAACATGCTGCAGTGTTAATGGAGAGAGAGATCAAGCCAGATTTGATCAAACATGCTTCAGTGTTAGTGGAGAGAGAGATCAAGACAGATGTGATCAAACATGCTTCAGTGTTAGTGGAGAGAGAGATCAAGCCAGATGTGATCAAACATGCTAAAGTGTTAGTGGAGAGAGATCAAGCCAAATGTGATCAAACATGCTACAGTGTTAGTGGAGAGAGATCAAGCCAGATGTGATCAAACATGCTGCAGTGTTAATGGAGAGAGATCAAGACAGATGTGATCAAACATGCTAAAGTGTTAGTGGAGAGAGATCAAGACAGATGTGATCAAACATGCTAAAGTGTTAGTGGAGAGAGAGATCAAGCCAGATGTGATCAAACATGCAGCAGTTTTAATGGAGAGAGATCAAGCCAGATGTGATCAAACATGCTGCAGTGTTAATGGAGAGAGATCAAGCCAGATGTGATCAAACATGCTGCAGTGTTAGTGGAGAGAGATCAAGACAGATGTGATCAAACATGCTAAAGTGTTAGTGGAGAGAGAGATCAAGCCAGATGTGATCAAACATGCTGCAGTGTTAGTGGAGAGAGAGATTGAGACAGATGTGATCAAATATGCTGCAGTGTTAGTGGAGAGAGATCAAGCCAGATGTGATCAAACATGCTGCAGTGTTAATGGAGAGAGATCAAGCCAGATGTGATCAAACATGCTGCAGTGTTAGTGGAGAGAGAGATCAAGACAGATGTGATCAAACATGCTGCAGTGTTAGTGGAGAGAGATCAAGACAGATGTGATCAAACATGCTAAAGTGTTAGTGGAGAGAGATCAAGCCAGATGTGATCAAACATGCTAAAGTGTTAGTGGAGAGAGAGATCAAGCCAGATGTGATCAAACATGCTAAAGTGTTAGTGGAGAGAGAGATCAAGACAGATGTGATCAAACATGCAGCAGTGTTAATGGAGAGAGATCAAGCCAGATGTGATCAAACATGCTGCAGTGTTAATGGAGAGAGATCAAGCCAGATGTGATCAAACATGCTGCAGTGTTAGTGGAGAGAGATCAAGACAGATGTGATCAAACATGCTGCAGTGTTAGTGGAGAGAGAGATTGAGCCAGATGTGATCAAACATGCTGCAGTGTTAGTGGAGAGATAGATTGAGCCAGATGTGATCAAACATGCTAAAGTGTTAGTGGAGAGAGAGATCAAGCCAGATGTGATCAAACATGCTGCAGTGTTAGTGGAGAGAGAGATTGAGCCAGATGTGATCAAATATGCTGCAGTGTTAGTGGAGAGAGATCAAGCCAGATGTGATCAAACATGCTGCAGTGTTAATGGAGAGAGATCAAGCCAGATGTGATCAAACATGCTGCAGTTTTAGTGGAGAGAGATCAAGACAGATGTGATCAAACATGCTGCAGTGTTAGTGGAGAGAGATCAAGACAGATGTGATCGAACATGCTAAAGTGTTAATGGAGAGAGAGATCAAGCCAGATGTGATCAAACATGCTGCAGTGTTAGTGGAGAGAGAGATCAAGACAGATGTGATCAAACATGCTGCAGTGTTAGTGGAGAGAGAGATCAAGACAGATGTGATCAAACATGCTAAAGTGTTAGTGGAGAGAGAGATCAAGCTAGATGTGATCAAACATGCTAAAGTGTTAGTGGAGAGAGAGATCAAGACAGATGTGATCAAACATGCTTCAGTGTTAGTGGAGAGAGAGATCAAGCCAGATGTGATCAAACATGCTGCAGTGTTAGTGGAGAGAGAGATCAAGCCAGATGTGATCAAACATGCTGCAGTGTTAGTGGAGAGAGAGATCAAGCCAGATGTGATCAAACATGCTAAAGTGTTAGTGGAGAGAGAGATCAAGCCAAATGTGATCAAACATGCTGCAGTGTTAGTGGAGAGAGATCAAGCCAGATGTGATCAAACATGCTTGCTGCAGTGTTAGTGGAGAGAGATCAAGCCAGATGTGATCAAACATGCTAAAGTGTTAATGGAGAGAGAGATCAAGCCAAATGTGATCAAACATGCTGCAGTGTTAGTGGAGAGAGATCAAGCCAGATGTGATCAAACATGCTGCAGTGTTAGTGGAGAGAGATCAAGCCAGATGTGATCAAACATGCTGCAGTGTTAGTGGAGAGAGATCAAGCCAGATGTGATCAAACATGCTGCAGTGTTAGTGGAGAGAGAGATCAAGCCAGATGTGATCAAACATGCTGCAGTGTTAGTGGAGAGAGATCAAGCCAGATGTGATCAAGCATGCTTCAGTGTTAGTGGAGAGAGATCAAGCCAGATGTGATCAAACATGCAGCAGTGTTAGTGGAGAGAGATCAAGCCAGATGTGATCAAACATGCTGCAGTTTTAGTGGAGAGAGATCAAGCCAGATGTGATCAAACATGCTGCAGTGAAATCAACCCTCTTGACCTTAAACAAGAAATGAAACAATTGGATTGAGACACTGACAAATGAAAAAGTTGGGAAAATATAACAGAACAAAGAAGACTTTTTAAAACAAATTTAAAAATCATGAAAACTTGCAAGGATTGGTCACAACATAAGATATGAAGAAAAACCAAGTGAGGTGATGGAGGAGGCAATACTGGTGGAAATAGGAAGGGATAGACTAAGAATAATATTGATGACATAGGCATTCACAGATCCTGTTTCTTGTTGACTGTATCAACATCCTAGCACATTGGTCTGAGCCATTCATGCTCTGTCCTTCAATGCAGAAGCCATTTCAGTGTTTCCATGCTCATTTTACTCTGTAGGAATCGGTTGGCATTTCTTTCTCTGCCCTGCACCCAGTTCAGGCAAGCTTGCCCTTTCAATGCCCATTTCTAACAGATGATATCATCTCTGACCAAATCATCTCTGACTTTATCATCTCTGACTTTATCATCTCTGACAAATCATCTCTGACTTTATCATCTCTGACCTTATAATCTCTGACTGTATCATCTCTGACTGTATCATCTCTGACTTTATCATCTCTGACTTTATCATCTCTGACTTTATCATCTCTGACAAATCATCTCTGACTTTATCATCTCTGACCTTATAATCTCTGACTGTATCATCTCTGACTGTATCATCTCTGACTTTATCATCTCTGTATGTATCATCTCTGACTTTATCATCTCTGACTGTATAATCTCTGACTTTATCATCTCTGACTTTATCATCTCTGACTGTATCATCTCTGACTGTATCATATCTGACTGTATCATCTCTGACTTTATCATCTCTGACTTTATCATCTCTGACTGTATAATCTCTGACTTTATCATCTCTGACTTTATCATCTCTGACTGTATCATCTCTGACTGTATCATCTCTGACTGTATCATCTCTGACTGTATCATCTCTGACTTTATCATCTCTGACTGTATCATCTCTGACTGTATCATCTCTGACTTTATCATCTCTGACTGTATCATCTCTGACTTTATCATCTCTGACTGTATCATCTCTGACTTTATCATCTCTGACTTTATCATCTCTGACTGTATCATCTCTGACTGTATCATCTCTGACTTTATCATCTCTGACGTTATCATCTCTAACTGTATCATCTCTGACTGTATCATCTCTGACGTTATCATCTCTGACAAATCATCTCTGACTTTATCATCTCTGACTTTATCATCTCTGACTTTATCATCTCTGACTGTATCATCTCTGACATTATCATCTCTGACAAATCATCTCTGACTTTATCATCTCTGACTGTATCATCTCTGACTTTATCATCTCTGACGTTATCATCTCTGACTATTATCTCTGACTTTATCATCTCTGACTGTATCATCTCTGACTTTATCATCTCTGACTTTATCATCTCTGACTTTATCATCTCTGACTGTATCATCTCTGACTGTATCATCTCTGACTTTATCATCTCTGACTTTATCATCTCTGACTTTATCATCTCTGACTGTATCATCTCTGACGTTATCATCTCTGACTGTATCATCTCTGACTTTATAATTTCTGACTGTATCATCTCTGACTTTATCATTTCTGAATTTATCATTTCCAACTTGATCCTCTCTGTATTTATCCTCTCTGACTTTATCTTTGCGCACCTGACGCAACAAAATGGTGGCGGAAATTTTCACATCTTGATTTGTTTTCAAAAATCCTATACTTAGCTGTCTACTGTGTATGTAACCTGTATTTTTAATGAAATAATGACTGCCAGAAGATTGCAGAACTGCATCAGGACTGTGTGTTTCTGATTACCTTCATTGTGATGTAAGTTCATAGTCAAGGTCATCGGACAGCACTGCATCATAATGGTCAACGAAACAACGATATGTCGGCGTTAAGTACAAATGTTGATGCTGTCTACTCATTCTAGGTTGAATTTGCCAGTTTGAATCTTTTTAAATGCTGAGTTGCTTTCTGTTCTGCCGGCCATGCAAGTGTCCTTGTGGACAGTTGCAATCTCCATTGTCATCCTAGAAGTAGTTGAATGACTGACCTTCTTCTTTTACCGCCTTTCCATTCACCTGCATTGTGCATGCCTACACAGACTACATCCCTCAGATGACTGAGCCATCTGTATAGATGATGATGTCCGCTGGTCAAGGGTTCTCATGGATCTGTCAGCAGACATACAATAAATAAAATATAATAACACAAGATACACAACTGTGAAATGGAGTTATTTAGGACCTTCTCAGCCTGCCTGAGGACTGGTGATGATGGTGACAATAATGATGATGTGCTGGCAGCGGTTCAGATGATGATAGTGTGGTAGGAGCAGCTGAAATAATTATGATGTTGTGGTGGTAGCAGTTGAGATGATGATGATAATAATGATGATGACTGTGTAGCAAGTAATTTGTAGTTTCACAAATATTCTAGCTTACATCTATTAGTATTATTTCACAATTAAACAAGGTTTGAACCACCTTTCCCTTACCTTAGAAAATTAATGGGATAGGTGAGGGTTAAATCTGACCTCTTCCCTGCCTCCAGGATTGTTTTCTCTGTGGTGGCATGCTGCTTATGCATTCATTATTTGATAAAAAGGTGTAAGATCATTGTCTTGTTATGTCCACCAGCAGAGCCTCTAAGTATATATCAGTCTGCAAAAGTTTTATCATTTTTCATCTCCTACAACAGGAGTGTGAGATGAAGTTTGGGTCATGGACTTTTGAGGGCAAGACACTAGTTTACAAATTCCAAGATTCCATCAACAACATCATTCTCACAGACTACATGAAGAATGGCGCCTGGGATATAATTGATGGTCCCGGCCGTATTACCACTGTGAACGATTCCATCACTGGACAGGTAACAGTATTGCTATGTAAGTTTATAAAGCTACCATAACCTCAGTGTGAGAAATTAGGACTTTGTACAATCTGTAGTGAATACAGAGACATTTTTTCAGAACTTTGAATAACCCATAACAAATACAGAAACATTCTTTAGAACTTTGTGTAACCTGTAGTGAATACAGAGACTTTCTTTAGAACATTGTTTAACCTGTAGTGAATACAGAGACATTCTTTACAACTTTGTACAACCTATAGTGAATACAGAGACTTTCTTTAGAACATTGTTTAACCTGTAGTGAATACAGAGACATTCTTTAGAACTTTGTGTAACCTGTAGTGAATACAGAGACTTTCTTTAGAACTTTGTACAACGTAAAGTGAACACAGAGAAATTCTTTAGAACTTGTACAACCTAAAGTGAATATAAAGAAGTTATTTAGAACTTTGTAGAACCTATAGTGAATACAGATAAATTATTTAGAACTTTGTACAACCTATAGTGAATACAGATAAATTATTTAGAACTTTGTACAACCTATAGTGAATACAGAGAAATTATTTAGAACTTTGTACAACCTAAAGTGAATATAAATAAATTATTTAGAATTTTGTACAACTTATAATAAATGCAGAGAAATTATTTAGAATTGTGTACAACCTGTAGTGAAAACATAAAGTGTAAAATATAAAACATAGGACCGATTGTAGGCTGGATTGGCCTGATAACTTTTTCTTCTTTGCATTCACCAGCTGTAAACTCTGGCAGAAATTGTAAGTTGTTCATTCACTCAGTGCCAAGGTCATAAAACGAAAATGTTACTGTGGTTCTTGCAGAGAAACAAACTAGAATACAGGGCCTTTTATTCTAGCCCCCCCCCCCCCCCCCCCCCCCCCCCCCCCTTAAACAAAAATGCTGGTACTCACCAGAAGGTATCACACACACACAAACACACAAAAAGATACTCACCACAAAGTGTCTAAATGAAAGGTGCTGGTACTCAGCTGAAAGTGTCTATTAGACTATCGCTGATAAAGTGATGCCAAAAAAACATACAAAAAGGGGGAACCCTTGAAGCCGTAGAAATATTATATATATATATATAATTAACATAGAGACAGTGTTTTGATCAGCACTCATAGAAAGAAGTAGAAAGACAGAAGGACACAAAAGACAACATAGAAATCAAAAGCTATAGTTACTGTGCTGAGAATCGCACCTGTCACCTCCAGTCGACGTGTGTGCCTTACTATGGAGACAAGCATGCTAAGAACACAACCAACTGGGCACCCCCCCCCCCCCCCCCCCCCCCCCCCCCCCCCCCCCCCCCCCCCCCCCCCCAAAAAAGGTGTCTTCATTGTCATGTCTTTCGTACAGCTTAAAATCCACAACTATGGAATACGGACAGAATTAATTTAAAACCATTTAAATGGCATCATAGGTTACAGAAATTTATATTAACGAAGCATAGGTCGAAAAACAAACACAGCAACAATTTACAATCACGGCAGACCATAATGCTTTTTTTAGAATACATAAACATTTAAGAAAGTTTTGATTGGTAGGTTCCATGGTGTTACACGTCATTCATATAAATAAACAGAGGGGGAACCCTTGAAGCCGTAGAAGTGTGTCCTTCTGTCTTTCTACTTCTTTCTATGAGTGCCGATCAATACACTGTCCCTATGTTAATTATATATATATATAAAATAACAGACTGATTTGTTGAGGTTAGGTCTAGGCTTATCATGCTTTCTTCACATCCCATGGGGTAAATGCTGGGTAAGTTAACAACTTATAATCAAGACACTAATGACACAAACATTTTAGTAACAGTTACCTCTTTTAATTACAAAAGATCATACCTGATGCCTGACTGAAGCAATAATGATGACTACAAATGCATGGGTATACTGCATTCCCAGGGTCCAGCTACACATCATATTGTGTGTCACTTGTACTGATGGATTTATTTAGTTTGCCTGATTGAATGAAAGATGTACAAATAAACAAAACATGCTGACTAGTGTATGTGGGTAATATCCAGTATACATGGTGCCTTGTTCAGGACTAAAAGGGTTAATGAAGATGGCTACTGTCTCATATAATGAACAGTTTGAATTACGAGTATTTGCTTACATATTAGAGGCCACCATAGTTTACTAGTTGTTGAGAGTTACCACACATGCACACCCAAAGGTCTATTCTTTGTTAACTTTGTTCAGGTTATTAAAGTAGTAATTAAAGCATCTTTATCACATCAGTGGCATATTTGGGCATATAGTGCTAGACTTGCATTGTTCTTTTCACAAGTGCAAGTTTTATAGAGATCCCTGGGGATTGTTACCAGAGCTAAGGAGTTCATACTTTGTGCAATGCTCTTGGCAGATGGCTAGTCATTTTGCAGAGAGAAACCAAACCATATGGGATTAAACCTGGTCAGGCCTTTTGACTTCAGCTTCGACTTCAATCTTTAGACTAACTGGCACTCACTGGACGATAGTTAGAGTAGTTAGTTTTTCATTGATGTTTCTATCTAAGAATATTGATAAATGTGTTCTGGAGAGGTTTAAAAGTGAGCATACTCTCTGTATAAATGGCTTCATCTCTCTCCAAAGAACAGTGGGTTGTTCATCAAGAAAGAGCATCACACAGAGCACAAACTCTAAAGCTCCATCAGTGACCACCAGGAAACCCTGAAACACTTTAACAAAATATCCCCACAAACTTTGGAAGTACTAGGCAACAACTTGAGAATTTCTCCACAAAGATCTCTATGTGATAAATTCTTCAATAGTTTCAAGACTTATGGTTATAAACCCCCATGTAAGTTCAAGGTCTATTTTTTTAAGGGTGATCAACAAACCCCCTCCCCTACATCCCCCCCTTCCCCATTGTGAAAAGCATGGTGACCTATCAAGGGTTCACTGAAATCAGATGTATTGGTCCAAGAGGTGCAGATGTTACAACCTTGCTGTAAACCGCAGTGTGTCAACTGCTCATTCAAGGCCATACACAGAAGATGAAGTGTTATCTTCTTTTTCCTCTTCTTCATGTTCACCGGCTGCAAATTCAGTTGACAGTTTGGTTGTTTGTCCAACTGGGACAGTTTGGTTGTTTGTCCAACTGGGACAGTTTGGTTGTTTGTCCAACTGGGACAGTTTGGTTGTTTGTCCAACTGGGACAGTTTGGTTGTTTGTCCAACTGGGACAGTTTGGTTGTTTGTCCAACTGGGACAGTTTGGTTGTTTGTCCAACTGGGACAGTTTGGTTGTTTGTCCAACTGGGACAGTTTGGTTGTTTGTCCAAACTGTCGACTTTAGTCTTGTTCCAGAACCTGAATGTTACATGCACATCCATTTTACAGATCCGACATTTTTGAATGCAGACTGTTGGTTCCTTACCTCTTTTCAGATCCAATCTGACTTTAAAGGAAGCTCCTAATTATTCTTATCTGAACTCGTTCACAGCCCAAGCAGATGATTGTGTATGTGCTGAAGCTGAGGAGAAAGACACTGTTTTACACAGTCAACCTGATCATTCCTTGTTTCCTGCATGCGATGGTGTGCCTGTGTGTGTTTGTGCTGCCAGCTGGTGGCGGAGAGAAGATCACTTTGGTGATATCAGTTCTTGTGTCTCTGGTTGTGTTTTTACTCATGTTGCAAAAGGTAAGCTCATCTGTTGTCCCATTTTAATAATCAACATTGTCCTTATCTCATCAATGCCATTATCAATTAATCTTATAATCCAATAGTTTACCAACTTATTAAAACCTGTGGCTACTAAGTCAGTAATCAAGAGCATAAGCCGCTCACAACTATGGCATCATAATTAGGCCCCAGAATCTGTCATTGTTAAGATGGTCTGAGGTCCCATTCTCCATCCCTAGCCTAGGAAATATTCAGGGGGCCAATTAACACCCCCCCCACCCCCCCACCTGCCAACCCCCTCTTCATCGTCTATAGATGTTCTCTTTTTAAGTATTTGTTTCTTCATTTTGTTTTTAAAAAAAATATATATATTTTTTTTTGCCATTTAGCATTACAAAAAATTACATTAGCTTAAGCCCTTGAGCCTCATCCCCTAATAAATCATAAGGGAACTGAGCTCCCAAATGTTTTCTTTGTACTGGTGTGCCTGATGCCGTATTATATTTAATTCCATAATTTTTTACTTTATTTAATTGGTTCAGTACCAGATAATAAATCAAATGTTGATTTACAATGAATTTATTTATCTTCTGGTACAGAAAGAGTTAATAAAAGAAGTTCTGGATTACTACAGTCCCTATGATCAGTCATTTTCTTTTTGTGCCGCTTCCATAATAGAATTTGGTTGCAGTTTTTCTACTGCTAACAATTCTTCATTAAAGATGTACTGGCTATAAAAGCAAACAGGGCTGGAGATTTGGCTAGAGACAGAAAGGACCCATTCTGCTGCATGATGATGATGAGCCATGGGAATATTAGGTGGTGAAGACCCACACTCTTGCATGTTGCAATTCTTACATGTTAGAACTCTTACATGTTAGAACTCTTACATGTTGCAATACTTGCACGACTATCCAAAGAGTGGATGAGGTTTTATTGCAAAGGTGGATGGACAGTGTTGAAAACTGACAGTCTTACATTTAATGTCATAATATCCAATTTGAGAATATAGGTTGAAGTAACAATAGAAGTTTTCAGATGGCTTGAGAACAATACAGCCAGACATATTGTAATTGCAACGACTCACAGAGCAGGACTAGACACACACTAACTGACATTCTTCATTTAGAGTAGTGGCTTACATCCCTTAGAAATCTGGATGCTTTTCAATGCTGAGAAAAAAACATAGGTGGACTTTTAATCAGGTTGCAGCTGACACTATTAGCATGGGAATTCTTTTTTTGGCTACTCAGGAAGGAGAGGGAGCACCTGCTGGAATGTCCTGAGTGTTGTGATGTCAATTCTGGATTAAGTCATATTATAGATTCTACAGCAGTGCATACCAGAAAACTGAGGTGGCAAAGTTAAAAGCTAGGAGGGCTCTGGCACTAAAGGTTTGATGGGATTCAAATGGCTAAATACTCCCTGAAACTGTGACAGGCCTAGCAAGCCAGCAGTGGATTAAAGTTTTATTTTCAATAATCACTGGCCATTAATGGACTACAAGAGATCAGAATACCAATACCAGAAAACAAGCTGTGATGGGGACATTGCTAAATTACATCAAGAGACAACAAATTAAATGGTTCAGACATGTATCAAGACAACCACAAGACAGTGCACCACAGAGAGCCTTGTCAATTATACACAATGGAAGCGGATCTAGAGGTTGCCCCTGTAAGTGATGGATATTCAGAGTATCAGAGGCTCAGAAAACCAGCATCTACATAACAAATAACAAGGCTCCTACCAGATCCCTCTTCAAAACCTGACACTAAAAAACAGAATGGGATCTAGGAAATTGAAAATAGATCTAGTTTTTCACAGTACAATCATAGCTAATTATAGTATCTGCATTTAATAGTCCAGAACACCGATCACATTTTTAATATCTTGTATTGCAGATTCTACCTCCATCTCTCACAATCCCACTCATTGCCAAGTATTTTATTTTTACGTTTACAATGAATGTGCTAGAGATTCTAGTCACCGTATTCATCATATGTGCACACAACAAAACAGCACGTATGGCCATTATGCCCAGGTGGATGTGCTGGTTGTTTTTGTATAAGTAAGTACCTGGTTTGTTACATTTTTCCTGGGCAAGTATTGTTGCAAGTTATATCAGATGTTAACACAAAGAATTAAGAGTTTAACATTCTCACCCTCAGTAACCACATAAACTGCTTTTGGTCATCTGTTATAATTCCAAAAGGAACCATATAGTCCATTCCTAATAACACATAGCTGCAGGATTTGGTACTTTTCACAATTGTTTGATGGTAAGAGAAGGTCACATGGACTGAAAATCTTCTTCTTGACTTTCACCAGCTGTAAATCCCAACTGAAAGATTTTATTGTTTGTCCACCTCTAGTCTTAGTCTTGTTTCAGAACCTGAATGCTAAGTGTACATCTATTTTACATATCTGGCCTATTTGTATGCAGACTGTACATCCATTTTACATATCTGACTTATTTGTATGCAGACTACTGGTTTCATGCCTCTCAGGCAGAGGCATTCTGACTTCCCAGGAAACCTCAAATTAATTGACTCTTATGACATGCTTGCTGGGGAGGCAATGTCTCTGCTCTTGTTTTCTCCACAATGGGACCCCAAAACCCCACATGGAGTACTGAATATGATTATATTTACTAATAAATAGGAACAACAATAACAGCAACAGATTTTTATTATAATAAGCTTGAAACTAATGCTTATTCAAAAGTGGTACTTAATAAGAGTAAATGAAAAAAGAATGTTCTGTGGATGAAAAACTGCCACAAAATAGTTTTTCTTTTTAGTCTTCGATGATAAAAGTGTTATAGGTAGTGACTTTGGTACCTCACATGTTGAAAGTGAATCAGATGACAATGGATTATTTTTATCAGCTGATGTGCTACATTCAAAAGTTCTGGGAATTTTTTTTAATAGGAATTAATGGAGGATATGATTAATCCTCAGTGATAACATACAGAAGTTTTCTTCATAATAGAGCAACTCTAAGAATGATAAATCCTTATAAAATAGGCATTAATTAATTTTGTAAGAAGGAAAAGGATTGCAAGTGAAAGAGCTGGTTTCTCTACCGTATTTGTCATGATTTAATGTATTTGAAGATGTTGCCCTTTACAAGCTTACAGCAGTATCTGTATTCATGGCTATCCTTTTAGATAAGGCTTTCTGCATAAACAGGTTTCACTTTTGATGAGGGAATATTTGAGTGCTTGTACTTTGATCATGTATTTTTTTTTTTTTTTTAATAATAAACAATTAGAATATTTTGGTTCCTCAGACTTCCCAAATATTTATGTATGGAACGACCAGATCATGACAGTCGCTGGCATCAAAAAAGCTGTACCCCTCCACCATCCTATCCAGCCACACCACAGGTAATCTGGCTTTACTGTAAGCTTCTACTTCTTTTTATTACTGTAGAATCTGATTAAATGTTAATATTCGTTGCCTGACATCATCAATGCCATACTAGAGACTAAGCGCTGTGAGGCTTTCAATTTCATGAAAAAATGACTTCACTGAATAAACTACATACCCTGGGTATGCCCATTCATGCAGCGAGACAGGAAAACCATGCCAAAGCCACCCATTGTTACATCAACCAGAACAAAATGGGAGTTATTTGCCTAAAAACACTTGGGGACCTACTCAGGAGGAGATCGGAGCACTTATGGTCATGTCCCATGTGTGATGAAGCTGATCTTTAAATGAACAATTTGTTGCCTGCATGAACTGTATTGCTCACTGCCATTGTTGCCTGCATGAACTGTATTGCTCACTGCCATTGTTGCCTGTATGAACTGTATTGCTCACTGCCATTCTTGCCTGCTTATAGAGTGGTCACAATACTGAGAACACAGTAGCAACCAGTCTGATGCTGACCGCTACTTCTCAGGAGTTCTGGTTGTTCGTCTTCCTGTGGACTTTAGCCTTGTTTCAGAAGCTTACTGTTTCATGCACAGATTGGTAACACAAAATGTATATTTACCTCTAACCTAAAGTAAAGGACCATTTTTCACACCTTCCACTGGTAATAGGTGTTTCGTCCTTTTTAGGACGAAATTTTTTGTTATTTGAAGCCCCACCCTGGCTTTTGCCAGGGGCCGCAATATAGGCAGGCCATAAATATGGCCAATTGTCTGAACGCGGTTTCTTGGACCTCTCCACGGTGATCCTCATCCGCATGGTGGCACTTTGTGTCATTGGGTGTTTATCGCTTGTGTGATGCCCTAGTGGGGTAGAAAGTCAGTCAGTCAGTCACACCTTCCAGCATATTAGGCATATAGGGCTAGACCTATATTTTATAGGTCAATCGGCACTTGGTGAGTGATGTGGTCAACATCATGTTGTCCGCCTTCACTTCCCAGGACTTTATTTAGTACCTGTTTAAGTATAGGTCTACCTGGGAGCCAAGGTCATTTTTTTTAAGACTGACTTTATCAGGACCTGAATCCATGACCTTCGGATCCACAAGTGAGCATCTAGCCGCTACATCATGGCCTCTCCCTACCTCTAATGTGACTGTTTATAATATAAAATGTATTCTTAACACTATATCTTCAGCTGCTATTGAATACAAGTTTGATTTACTTTTTGCTTTACCATTCTCATTGAGAGCAAAGGCAATGTAGAATAGGTTTTACTAATAGAATTATACATGCATGAACACTAACCAGGCGCTACATACATCTCTTTGTCTTAATCTCCAGCCTTTCTAAACTTTTTAAAAGTAAAAATTGTTTGGTTTCATAAAATAAAGAAAAAAAATTGTATTTTTTGTTTAAATTCCAAGTTATTTGTGAATGTTAACACAAATTCCAACTGAAATTTAAATACCATGCTTTGACCTTTTCAGGTTCCAAGAGCCAATTTATTTATACGCCAAATTGCAGCAGTGACCAAAAAGAAAAAAGTCAAACATGGAGGGCTCAATGCTACCAGTTTAGATGCAAGGTATCAGAACTTGTATGCAATATATTTTGTTTCTACTTGGCTACCTGCTTACAGTGAAACTTCTTCTTTCTCGCCCTCACCATCATCTGTAAACGTCTGCTGAAAATTCTGTTTTTTTTTGTCCACTTCACTTCTGTCCAGAACATGAGTGTTGCATGCACATCCATTTTACAGACCTGACTTATTTGTATGCAGACTGTTGGTTTCTTGCCTCTCAGGCAGATACACTCTGACTTCAAAGGAAGCTCCCAATAAGTCAACTCTTATGACATGCTTCTTGTTTTCCCTATATTAGGGTCCCAGAACCCACACGGGGAGCTTACAGTAAATAATTCAAGATCATCATATGTCTAAAAAACACTGGTTACAGATTGCATTTCTCTTGTCCTCTGCCATAAAAAATTGTTAAGTGGTCAGGTTGTCTGCCTTTTCTGAAGTTGTCAAATTATTGTCAGTCTGTGTTCATTATTCCCCCCCCCCCCCACCATGAGGGGGAATTTCTTTGTCAAAAATCCTAGGAATGTTTAACTGCAGCCATAGAGTTGATAAGTTATAGGGATTCTTTCAGCAGGCACTCAGCTATAACAAAAATGAACCCTGGTGCTGTGGTCAGTGTTCTTGTTTTTCAACATTGTGGAGTGAAATTCAATTTCTAGAAGTAACGTGGATGGATTTTATCTTGCTTACTTGGTTTGTTTAATGATTTTTTTTTAAAAAGTTAGTTGTGGATCATTTACAGGACGTTGCAGAACCAACCCCAGCATTTTTTGGCTGTTGTGATTTTTCTAGGCAAATGTTACTTCAGTAGTTTGCCATTGTTTTCTGAACGGTCATCTCTCAGTACCATTGTCAAAACCAATGCAAGACAGTCTGCAGTTGGGATCGAACCCAGGGACCCCAGCATTACAAAGCGCATTCACAACGCCCAAGCCACGGATGCTGACAATCTACAGAATTTGATTGAAAGTAAATTAGCGAGGATGTATGGTTTTAATCTATTGTGCAGCATGTCTTAGTATATCAAGTTCTTACTCTTCAACTCTTTACTGTAGTGATTGTTATTTATCACCTTTTCAGTTTAGTTATATAGCCAGACATGGACACTATCTAAAGCTAATATATGCAAAATCACAACCTGAGATGAGGTGCCTGAGAAAAGCTGCTAACCTAACCATCTGAGATCGAGTGAATAGTGACACTATCAGACAAAAATGGAAACTACACATTGATCTAGATTCATTGAGAAACAGCAGATCAAGTGGTTTGGAGAATGCAGCAAGATCAAATACCATCACAAGCACTACATCTCAGAAGATCCGCTACAAGAGCAAGAGAACACCGCAGAAAATGTAGATCAACAACATTAAAGACACTCTATGTCTTCATGGCATGACAATAGCCAGTGACAGCCAGTTTGCACTAGATCGCAAACTATTCCTCCCCACGACGCTTAACCGCAGAAGTGATTTATAATGATGATGGACAGTTTAGTTATTCTTTATAAAACTTAGAATGAGAGTATTTTGATCAGACAGAGAAATATACAATAATATGCTGAGAAGGAACAAAGGCTGTGTTAAGACCAAAAAAACATATCACTAAATAGTAAAGAAATGAATGTCTTATAAAATATTACCAATGTATACAATACACAGTTTGACATGGACAGATATAGATATCAAAGACACAAGGTGACAACAAAATAATCCAGAAAAAAATGAAATCTTTGTTTAGCAACTGATTGAATCAATATAATGGATAAACCAGTAACTGTATTGTGTACTAATATTATTCCGTGGATAAAGTACATCAGATTATTGAAAATATTGATTAGCACAGCCTTGTATGAAAGTGACAAAGAAATATTGATTACGTTTTCGTGTTCATGTATACAAAAACTGAATGAGTGATTCTCCAAATGATGGTCCTAGATATATAATAAATTAGCTAGAATGATAAAATATGTGTTTTATGAATCAAGCGTATACATGTATCCTTTATGTTGCTGTGTGTTTTTGGAGATGAAACACAGAAGCATAGATTTTAGCTGGCACCCAGGACTTTTATTCTGGCAGAGGCAATGATTCGCCACACAGGCACCTTCTATTAGGCACAATCTTTTTCTTCTTTTTTTTGTTTTGAATTAGGCATAGTAGGTAGGTAAGTTGTACCCCACCAGGACATCACACAAGCGATAAACACCCGGTGACACAAAGTGCCACCATGCAGATAAGGATCACCCTCGGAGAGGTCCTAGAAACCCCATTTCAGCCATTATGGCCATATCTATGGCCTAGGTCATATTTATGGCCCGGCTATATTAAGGGCCCCGGCAGAAGCTAGGGTGGGGCTTCAAATAACAAAAAACTGCATCCCACATGGGGACGACTCATAATCTATATTAGGCATAATTTGTAATAGCCACTTTGCGGTAAAGTACCAGCACCTATTTTATACATGTTATGGTGAGTAAAAACCCTCTTTTCTTTTCTCTAGAGAAAAGCCATGATGGTGCCCTTTTTAGGCTGGGTTGACCTGGCAGTCAAGGTCATTATAACAAATGGGACTCCATGCAGATATAAACAGGATCATAAATATTTATTCCTAATTATGTTAAATCATTATATTTACAACAATTACTGTTGGGTTCACTTTCTTTCAGGGGCGCTGAGCGAGTCTTGGCATGGAGACAAAAATTTAGTCAGAGTCATTCCCCCTGTTTGAGTGGAGCCACAATGTCATCATCAGCTTCTGGTAGTCGCCTGTCCACAGATGGTAGTGTATTGGCCTCATTGTATCTTTCCATAAGTACTGTGATAAGAGTTTTATTTTATCAGTTAGTACTTGTTAACAGGGAGTCGCCATGGCAGAGCGGCTTGACGCTAGCCGCGGATCGGAAGATCATGGGTTCGCTCCCTGGCAGAGCCAGACTTTTTTAAAAATGACCTTGGCTCCCAGATTGACCCAGCCTTTAGTGGGTGCCGGGTGCAATCCCGGAAAGTAAAGGCCGCCGGCGTGATGCTGACCACATCAACCATTTTGTGCCGATTGGTCTATAAAATATAGATCTAGCCCTATACACTAAAGGCGTGGAAAAAGAGTCTTTCACTTTACTTACTTGTTAACAGGCAGCATCTATGAATTAGGGTTTGCAAGCTCAGTTGCATGCTCATGATATCTTCTTCTTTTTTTAGTCATGCCATGTGGTGCTGGTAGTCATACCTTTCCACAGCCTTCTGTCTTGTGTGTTTACAATCAGTTCTGATACAGATGATCTCCCTTCGTGCCGTCAAACTGTACTGCATCATCTCTTTCCTTTTCCCTCTGCACTCTTTTTTTACCCCTCAGATTTTCCCACTTCCATAATGCACTCCAGTTTTCTCCTTTTTATGACATGCCAAAGAATGTAGATGGTCTCCTTCTGATGTGGGCAATCAGTTCTCTTAGTGAGTTAATTTCTTTCCAGGGATCTTCATTACTCCTTTTATCTGTCTAGCATGTTCTCATCATTCATTTATAAAACCACATCTCTGCTGCTTCTAGATAATGTTTCTCTACTCGAACAACTGTCCATGATTCACTTCTTTATATCAGGAGAGGATGAATATAGCCCTTGAGAATTCTCTTTGTTATCTCACATGACCAAAAAAAAAAAAAGATTGCATAGAATATTTTTCACATTGTGTAAAATGCCAATTGAGCTATTCCTTATTTAACTTCTTGGAGACATCTTCCATCTGACTTATCTGATCCTAACAAACCTGGGTTCAAAGTCAGCTACAGGCTTTTTGGTAGCAGACCACTTTGCATTATTATCTTTGAACCACTAAGAAAGCAAGGGTGAATTCACAATCATCATTATCATGAATGCCCTGCAGCTAATTTGTCATATTACATCATGTAACATGATCACCAGAAGCACAGATAGGTTAATTTTCTTGCTTTTGCCTTTCCTAATGGCCAAGACAACCAGGGCAAACTACTGAATGTAAAAATTGCCTAGCCTAATAAAACCACACAACGGCCAATACATTCTGGGGTTGATTTTGGCTATACAGAAGTTGACAAGCACTTAACTTGTTAATGTGTTAAATAGAACTGTTTCACTGCGCTCCAGCAGACAAGTGCTTGCAGAGTAAATTTTTAAAATATGAAATTTAACTGTAAATGATAATATTACAGCTTGTTGTGCCATGCTGACAACAGCATAGTTAGCAGTAAACTTTGGGCACATCTGAACACTTTGATAATACAGAAATAAATGTAGCAATATTTGTAATTTTCCTGAATGTGGACTTTTTATTATTCTAAACCTATTTATACATTTTTCACTGTTGTAAGAAGTCTTAGAACCAGCAAGAATGTTTGGTCACTATCACACTCTTGCTGCATTCTTGCAAATGACTAATGTTTAGTCTTACTTGGGGAAAAACAAATTTGGTAATTTATTTCCAATATATGTCTTTATTCAATGCTGGTAAAGTGTTTTTCAAGTATACATTGTATAATTTAGGCTACTTCTTTTTTTTACAGTAATATCAGGATAGGATTTATATAGCTCTTGAGTTGTCTCTTTCTCATTTCCATTAATTAAAAAAAAAAAAGATTGCATAGAATATTCTTCATTTTGTAAAATGCTGCTTTTGCTTTAGCTTTGCTACATTTAACTTCTTTAATACGTGTTTTATCTGCTGTTATCAGGTACTCAAGTACTAAAACATATCAACTTGCTTTTTGTTTTACTTTAACTGATGACAGTACCTGAAAAAATGTTTTACCTCACAAAACAGATAGTCCAACAATTGAAATGAGGGAATTTAGACCTACCCACCTTCCAACTAACAGTCACCGCTGCATGTTGAGAGATTCAGGAATCAGTCAGTCAGACGATAGCCTGGATGAAGATATAAGTTCAGAGAGAATTAGAAGTCACAACGCACCCAGACCTGCCCAGATCTGCATCAGAAAGCCAATCCCCTTTCCACTCACGCAGGAAATCTACAGTGCCAGTAATGCCATCAAATTTATTTGTCATCAGATGAGAAACCAGGAAGACTACAACACTGTGAGTAAATAAGAGACAGCCTTGACTCTTTCTACATCTTAAGCCTAATAGAAATAACGTGAAACTTAGCCACAAAGAGACCCAGGTCAAATCCTTGGTGATGGTGTGGATTTTTTTAATGGAGGAGGCAAAAATATAACCCTAACCTTCACAGTCCGAGGCGACAGCACTAGCCATGAGGCCCTTATGCTCAGGCTCAAAGACCCCACTGCCTAATCGCAAAATTGGTAAACACAGTCAGTAATGGTCAAGACCTGTCTCAGTGTTTGATCATTTTTACCGCTGCCTCTTCTTCTCATCTCTCTTTTATGTGTTTGCCTTCTTTGTCAACTATCGCTTCATTATCATCGTTTTTATCAATCTCTTCGCCTTCTTCTTCATTGTGTTCTTGCAGCGATTTTTTTCTTCAGTTGTTACTGTCTCTCCTCCTTCTTCTTCTTCTTCTTCTTTTTCATCTTCTTCTTCTTCTTCTTCTTCTTCTTCTTCTTCTTCTTCTTCTTCTTCTTCTTCTTCTTCTTCTTCTGCTTCTTCTTTGTCTTCTTCTTCTTATTCCTCCTATTCCTTAGCTCGCTACCGCAATTTTCACCACTTGTCTTTCTCTAGCTGAACCTATTTATTCTTCTATTTCCTCATTTTTGAATTGTTTTATTCTTTCTTTTTTTTTTTCATCTTTATTCTCTATTGCATATTAGGCTTGTGAAATGACAAGTGAAAGTAACTGCTAGAGAACCATCACCTGTACAATACATAATAAAAAAAAATAGAAACCACAATACTCTTAGATCACATTGCTGTTCAGCCAGTGGAATCCTAAAATTGGTGGAATGCTGCTTCCAAACATTTTTAGTCGTTTTTTTTTTGTGTAGACACAAAAAAAAAAAAAAAAAATGGAATGTGTACATGAATTTTTAAAAATCCTGTAAAAAATTTAAAAAAAAAAAAAAAAATTAAAAATATTATAATTACCAAGAGCCTAATTTGTTAAAGTTCAAACTTGATCTATCAATTTGAAAACAAAATCTATTTTTCATGTTTTACTTTGAATGAAAATATTAATAAAATAGGGTCAATACCGCATTTACAACAGTGCCCTGTCTCTTATCTCAGACATGTTCACAACAACCAAACACTGTGTCACTGGAACTGTGAAACTCATGGTTCCATACAAGGACTTATAATTTGTCCATGTAGTAGGGAATAACTACGACAGTGAAGCTTGAGGACTGTATAATGCACAAGTAAAAAGAAAGAATAAAAGGAAACAAGTCTCATTATATTGGTAATATAGACTAAAAAAGAGGTTGCTGCAGTCTCCAGTGCTTTTGCAGGAGCTACCAATGCTTTCTTGGCAACTGTAAGTCACAAATGCTGATAATGTCAGTAGTATACCATTCATTAACAAGCTAAATTACAAACATGATATTAGAGTAAAAGCATGATAAACCTTATTCATAACTTATTATCAATGCACAATTAAAAAGTAAGTGAAGGAGCCTTTTCCGTGCATTCAGGTGTAATGGGCATATAGGGCTAGACCTATATTTTATCGGCACTCCCTGGGTGATATGGTCAACATCACGCTGGCTGTCTTTACTTCCCAGGACTGTACCTGGGACCCATTTAAGGCTGGTTTCGGCCTGAGAGCCAGGTCATTTTTGAAAAAAATCTGGCTCTGTCAGGACGTGAACCCATGACCTTCTGATCTTCTTTTGAGTATCTAGCCTCTACAACATGGCAGCCAAATGCACAGGATTTAATGTTAACTCTGACCTAAAGTTTTTGTGTCTTTTTGTTTCAGGTTCTTGATGACTGGAAGTATGTGGCTGCAGTACTTGACCGGCTTCTAATGGTTATCTTTATTCTTGTCTCTCTTGGAGGGACATTAGGGGTCCTTATCAACACCCCACATCTATTGGAAACTGTTAATCAAGATGAGATTATAGCTAGAAACAACCCACATGGCTGATGTCTGCTAATTCGTGACCCTTTTCACTAGATCTCATCATTGTTTTCGGTCCTTGATAACATCATTACATCTTTTATCATTTCATTAACCAGTAAAGGACTCAGTATTTCGTTTTCTATTACTTGATGCCCAATTTTCTAGATTTTGAGTTTTCATAGCATGTATGGATTCATTGTCAATTAATGTTTATGTTTTCTTAAAACTTTATTGATGTTTATGAATGGACTATTTAAACAACAAAAATGTTTAATAATCAGAACAGAGTATGTAGTTAAAGTTGGTAGTAAAAAAATATTGAACTCATGTCATAAATGCTTGGAAATGTCAGTTCCTCACACAGGCATTGTACTGTGTATGATAAGTTAAGGAGGATCTTCCTTGCTAAGCGGTTAAGCACATTGCCTCATGTTCTGAATGAAGATCATGAGTTTGTTTCGCGGACTGTGTCATTGATTTGACAAGTGTAATTTCATTTTTTACAGATATCTGGGGATTTTTGACAGAGCTGTGGTGTTTAGCTTTGTATGATGCTTTTGGCAGATGGCTAACCATTCTGCAAAGATATATAAAGCCATAAAAGATAATACAGAGTGCAATGAAGTTGATCCTTTTCAGCTTTAAACTGTAAACATTTCATGACTTATGGATGTAAGTCAACTGAATCTGCCTCAAAACAGGAGATATGTGGCATGAATTATTACCAGAGCCACATTTAATCTTAGTGAAGCCTTAAGCTAACAGATAACAGGAAGGCAAAAGCTGTGTACACCAGGGAGTTTAATGGGAGTAGGCCGCTAGGCAGACTAAGAAGGTGAAGGAGAGATAATATCCTGGCAGATCTACAAACACCTGTAGTTACCAACTGAAAGGAGAATGCAATAACAGAGATAAATAATGTGGTGATATATGATCAATGAACCGCAAGGACTCAGAATGCTGAAGAATCAGAAAAAGAAGACACAAAAGAAGACAAAGAAGGAGGAGGAAGAACTAGAAGTCCCACACTGTCCAACCTAGATGAAGCTGTAAGACTCCCCTATTAAAAATCCCACCAGAAGACCTCACAGCATTAGAAAACATATAAAATTTATGTTGAGGTCCCACAGATTGTGAGGCCTAAGCTGTAGCTCTCTCGTCCTAAGCCAGAATCGAGCCTTGATGACGTAATGTATTTAGTAAACCACGGCGCTTACCAGACAACCACGTCAAGCATGACCATGGAAATAGCCGCTGCTTCTAGAGCTTTAGCATGGGTATCCGAGCAAACCGCCACACAAGCAGTAATTGTCTCAGACTCAATGAATATGCTTCAGAAAATAGCAACTGGCAGTATGCGCTCTGAATGGATAGAAAGCATTCGGAAATCGCACTTAACTTCCGTAACCTGGATCTACACACCGGGTCATGCGGGCGTAAAGGGAAATGAGCGAGCGGACCAACTGGCAAGCACAGCACTAATGATTGCGGGAAAAAGCATGGACAGAGCAGATATCGTTAACGCTGTACGTACTGGGCTAGTGGATAATATCGAATCCCTGACACTAACACGATTGCGTGACATGGGAGTTAAGCATGGTGAAGCACGTCTTTGCCGTCTGCGAGGCCGAGAAAGGAGACAATATAACCAGCTTCTCATGGGGACAATTAGTAGAAGTACTTTGGAGTGGCTGCTGCTTCGGAGGACTGCGCACGCATGGGTATGCCCAATGTGCAGTGACGTCGATTGTGATAACAAAACACAAAATAACATTTTGTAGGAAGTCGGCATTCCGAAACCCAAGTTCAAGGTGTCTCCTTCGTGCCAAAGAACTGCATGGCTGTTGGGTGAACAGTCGTTAACGAAGGCAGTCAGGTCGTTGTAGGGGCGACGCCTGCTGGTGGATGTAATGTCCTAAGTCCCTTTCCCAGCTAATAGTGAGGGTACTGCTGGGGTGACCATTTGTTAACCCCTCACATAATGCTTCAAGTCACAGTGGACGCTAGGCACGGCCACTTTTTTTTTTTTTTTTTTTTTTTTTTTTTAGCCGTGGCAGTTCTGCCAGGCGGTGGTCGTTGCATTTTTGCTCCATTTGTAGACTGGAAGGATATGGTTTCGTCACCCAGCTTCTGAGTTGAGTGCATGGTGTGACACTGTGAGCTACGAGTGTTTTTCGTTGGCACAGGAGCGGAGCAACAATGGGGTGACCCGTTTGCTATGATGCTGAAACTAGGATTACCAGATTACCAGATTACGGCAGAACTGTAATTTAACATTTTGTGAGTAAAATGACTTATGTATTATGTGGCATAAAGATTTTCTGTACTTGCAATCTCTGGAGGGAACTGGCAATTACAGTAAAATATGCTATGGGCTGCAGTAGTGTCTAGTAGATCAAAAGGTAATTTGATCATCAAATACCTAAGAAAGAGGACTGCATTTAAAAAAAAAATCAAAATACAGCTTTATCACAGCATTATGAGGACTGAATAGCTGAATAAAAAAAAATATGTAAGACTCCAAAACAAAACAAAAATCACTTTCAAACCTCAGACAATCATCATCTGTTTTGTTGTTGTTGTTGTTGTTTAATTTGTGTACTTTGTCTCTGTCAAGGAAATCTGACAATTGTTTATTTACTGCATGCTATATTAATTGCTTATAAATATATGCTCGCACAATTATTGTGGTGGTTTGCCTTAAACTTCCACATCTACATAAAAATTTATCATAAGCAATAAATGACTACACCTCCAAGGTTGTCTTGAACACCTGACATTGAAGCACATAATTGTCTCTTTTGTTTCCACTTTGCAAATTATCCCCAAAAAGAGAATAGGCCTTTAACCAAGTAAAAACCCTCCTGTGTTTGGTCATATCCCACAGCTCTCCCCATTCCTCAAATGATTAATCTCTATCTTTAATTTCTTTCTGTTTCAAGACCATCTCTAAAACTTTTTGCTCTATGCATTGCAGAGAAATCAATGCTAACTGTGCTGTGAGTTATGAATTGTTGAGCAAAGTCAAGAAATGACATCATAGCACTCAAGACAATCCATAAGTGCTCATCTTCATCTTCAACAGCCAGAGCATAGTTCCAATTTGTTGGAATTAGTAGCAGTCTGACTGTTGGTCTATTTTGCCTTTCCCCTGAATGTTGCATGTTCACCAGATCCTCTGGTTATGAGTTGAGTTATGAATTATATGTTGGGTTATCTTCACTCCTGACATGTCCATAGATACTCAGACTATCCCATCTAAATATATATCAGCATTCCGTGGTTAATAGTGCTAGTCATGTCTTGGTTGATACAACTTGTCTTACATTTGGTGTATCTCTCATGTTTAACTGTGCTAATCTTTACCCCCATTCCTCATATTCTTATCAGTGACGTGGACACACTGCTCCCCAAATCCTTTAATTACCCTAATTCTCTGAGGGTATTACCCATTGGATGGCCATCTGCAGCTAAGAAATAATTGTCTAGATCATCAGCTCTAGCACTACAAACAACAACAGTTGCTAGTTGTGCCATTAACAGGTTCTCTTAATGTGTGCCCTATAAGAAACTAATGGCATCTTCCTTGTGTGCTACAACAGTGTTAGGTTCAGCATTGCAAGTTAAGAATATTTTCAGCGTTACTATTGTTCCCTAAGTAAAGTTAAATATTGAAATAAGAATCAACATCACAGCACTCGGGACACTCCCATAAGTGCTCCATCCCCCATCTTCAGCAGCAAGCAAAGATTTAAAATTATGATGGTACCGGTAACTGTGTAATTGTATATCCATCTCGCCTTTTCCCTGAGTGTCAAGCGTCTGCTATATCTCTTCCTAGTGCCATTCTCCTCAGACTGTAATGATCTATCTGTGCGTCGGCACTGTTCACTCTCTCCCAAAGGCCCCAACAACATCCAGTTTGTCATACATCAGTTCACCACCAAGAGGTGCAGAACCGGCCAGTCTATCTGTCTGCTTATTTCCCGAAACGCTGGCATCACCTGGAAAAAATATCCAAAAGATGCTAACTACCCAGGACCTTTGAAGTGATGCTTACCACTCTGCACGGAACATGACTGTCTCCACCTTTCTCAACATGCTCTGTTAGCAGATACAATGACGACATCTGTGTACAGTTGATTCTTAAGCCAGCAGAAAGCAGCAATGATTGCCTCCACCTTCATTCTCAAACTAGACATTGTGATATCATATGCCAGACTTTGTTGCACCCCTCAACACAGAGCCATATGTATAGACAATCACAACACCTGGGCGGGATTTGTCATGAATCATTTGTTGAACTTCTGATTCTGCAGCACCAGCTGGCCAGTCCCTGCACTCACATCCCAAAGTAGTTAGAACCCTACACAAGTCTGAAACCTGATTGGACACTTTGACCCACTCCTATCCTCACCAAAGTTTATCAAGCCTGCACACATGTCCAATTGTGTCTTCAGCTTGCGCCATCCATGACTTTCCTCTTTTCAGTCTGTGACAGCTCTACCTAAGGCTTCATGCAGGAGTTGCCTCTTGTCAGCAGCTACTCTGAGATATGATTTTACTTGCAGAACTTTGAGCCTATCTGCAATAGTAGGCAGTGCAAGTATGTATCACATAAATACTGCCGGGGTATCTCTTGTACATCCCAGAATTACCCACTTGGCTTCATTCTGTATGCGTTCAAGTTTCATCAGCTGACTCTTTGATAAGTAATGTTTATATTTAATGATGAGAACACAAACAATGCATTGCAGGCATGTGTACATGTCTTCCTTCCTCCAGGCTGCAACCCAAAGGGAGATTAGGATTTAAAAAATATCAGTCAGAAGTGCTGACCAACAGGGCCATACCCAGATGATTTCGTTCAACCTACAAATAAGTTATAATCTGGGCACCCAAAACTGCTTCACTAGTCTGGTAAAACCAATGCAGGTAAATTGAGTTTTTATTTGCAATGTGTCACACAATTTATCACCTGGTATATTTACTTTATCTCATCATGACCAGGTAATAAATTGTGT